AAAAAAGCCGAAACCTGCGATAAAATTCCGAGCAAGTAGTATAGTAAGACTTTTAATCCACCCTTTCCATATCTGCAGAGTTTGTATAAAAAGAGCATTCCTGTGAGTTGTTTTCGAAAAAAGACCCAAAAAATCAAATTTGCTGTTCTGTATCGATTACCTAAAAATCTAGCTCTTCACAGAGATGCTCTTTTTACACAAACTCCGCTTAGATGGAAAGGATAGGTTTAAAGACTTGCTAATCGCAGGTTTCAGATTTTTAGCAGATTTTACTTTCCTGCTTCCCTCTGCCCCTTGTTAGAGGGCAACATACTCACTATCACAAAGATGGTTTCCCTCTATCTAGCAGAATTCAGTTTGTGCAAATACGTCAAGAGAGCCATTACTTATGATTTTTTGAAAATGATGCAACAGGACTTTTGCACCAACCTAATAATTTTTCTAAAGGAGGAGCGGGGAAAACGACATATCTAGTCATACAAATTGGTATTCAGACACATGAGTATCGAATACATTGATTTTGTTATAGTAATCACATGTGAATCACAGGAACTCACAACGAATTATCGACAACTTGATGAGCGACTTCTATTTTGCGCATCTTCATCCTCTAGATCACTTTGATATGCAGACCATTTTTCTCACAGTACCATCCAAAACGGGTATGACTCCCGAAGAACTTCTTCCAGTAGAATTGCTAGAGGTAGAGCAGTATTTTTGATCCATTTTCAATCCTCAACTGACTTTTTACCTGTCCAGAAATGTAACAACTGCTTCGTGCGAAGCTTGAGCAACGACCAGGATCTCTCTTCTGCTCCATCTCTCGTGTATTCTGGTATGATGTATATTGAAGATCTTGAATGGAAATAAATGAACACGAAATATAGGGCTTTCGAAAAGTAGCAGCTGTGCTCCTGAGATTACTTCCGAAGAATCGAATTCAGTTCAGGAGAATGGAGGTGAGCAGATGCTCAGAAGTTTTTTATCGCTGAGCAGAAATTTTGGTCTAAAATTGGGAGAACTATTCGGATCGTTTATTTGAGGGTCTGCATCCGTTCAGCGCAAAATAATTACGAGGCAAAGAAGCATACGAGAAGACTGCAGCTTGATTGTGGTCGCCTCACTTGTTGACAAACCAAACAATCTTGGAGGTACTTTGATTCAACGGGATTGGCGGCTAGAAGGCGACTGCTCGCATCCGCGACGCAGTCTGCGTCTCTCTCGCGGGCGTACTCTGTGATTATTCCCTAGCCTTGATTGAGCCTCGAAGCCCCTCCTTCTAGCAGCCAATCCCGTTGAATCAGACGGTAATAGCGAGTCCCTGTCTGGAAATGTCTATAGCGTTTGAACTTTGACATATCCATTTGTTTCCAGGATTATGCAGAACGTGCGAAATTTTCGCCGTGGATACCCTGGTGATAGCCGACCTAATCTATACCGCTGATGCAGGTTTCAAGTCACTGAGCATGTCAGCAGAAAAGCAGCAGAAGATTGAAGCGGTGGGTTATCGCTTTGTTGATCTGAATGAGTTAAGGTGAGAAACTTTTAGGTTCGACCTGATGATCTTATGCAGTACCTCGACGATT